TTTTTTTTTTTTTTTTTTTTTCTGACAGGTTGCTACACGATTTACAGATGAATTGCTTGAAATTGGGAGTCTTATGAGTAAAATAGTAAGGCCAGTCTTGACTCATTATCTAATATTTTTTTTTTGCATCTAGCAATAATAGTCTATTTGTACTTCCTTCTAAAGTAGGACTTTTTTTCTTAGATCGACTTTGATGAATCAACGGAACAAAATCGGTTTGTTGTTAAACCTGGAGTTGATCGTGCTTTGGATGAAAGTAAGCATGATCTCAGTTGTAACAAGTTGTTGACCTTCTCATAATTTTTAAACTTATGATGACCAAGTTTGCAGGTTTTGGCTGGTTTGCTGGACATGTGAAATTTGACGGATGTTATGATTATTATTGCATGTTGAGAAACGCTATCATCAGTCAGCCGTGCAACCTCTGTAACAGTACATTTACTAAACCTCTGTTATTGTATCTTAAATCTATACAGAGAAAAGAACATACAATGGCCTTCCTGACTTCATGACAAAAGTAGCCCGAGAGGAGCTTAACAAACTTAGTTCTTCCATTACAGAATGTAATGTTATTTACCTACCACAGGTAATTTTCAATTGATGTTTGTCCTTTTAACTTGCTTTTGGGGTTGCAAAGTTTTTGAGTTTTCACCTTTGGTATTTGTCTCACAGCTGGGCTACTTGTTAGCGATTCCTCGATCTCTGGAGATGAAGGAAGAAGGGGATTTTGCGATAGATGGCCTGGAGTTTGTGGTAATTATAAGCTCTTTATTAAAATTTTTGAGCTCATGTTGGTATAGTTACCTCCTTTTATCAATCAAAAACAATGAGAAGTTAACTTAAAGTAGCCAACTTTTTTCTCCTAGTTTCTTAGCAATAACAGGGTTCACTACAAGAGTGCTCGCACCAGAGGTATGTTAACGAGACTTACAATCCGTAAAAATTTTCGCCCGCTAGCGATTAGTCTAAATGCGTCAACGTACTGAATATACTTCAACTAAAACTGGGGAATATCCGAGTGATATTTTCCAATTTTCAAAAGATCCTGTGTGTTAGAAAAAATCTTCTCGGAACAAGTAATGTCCGCGGACAAATATCTAAGCATGTTTTCGCGCCAAATTGAGGCTATTGTTTAATAATACATTTGTAATTACCGAGAAAGTCCGACTTGTAGTCTTTATCATAGTGCCGTGTTTTGGTGGCAAACCATGCGTGCTCATGAGGCCTTTTCTTTGTTAAGCCGTCTGGATTCAATGCATTTCCAAATACCTCCTTTTGTATCTTGTTTTAGAGCTTGATAACCTTTTGGGGGACACACAGTGCGAAATAACAGGTGAGTCAGTTCTAGACCATTACGTCACCTAGGAAACTCTTGTATAGAAAAATGTAAAACGTGGACTCTTTTTGCAGTACAAGTTCCTTACTTTAATAATTTAATCAAGTAGATTTGTTTGTTTGTTTTTTTTTTTTTATCATCGTGAGTTACTGGAATTTGTTGATATTCAATAAAATGTTTGTTGTTTCTTTCTACAGATCATGAGACTGCTATTATGCATCGCCTACAGACTGTCATTCTGGAACACACCAAGGTGTTGATCGATGTAATGGAGTGCTGTGCAGAGTTGGACTGGTAAGTTCTTAAGCGGAGCAAGGATGGTGCAGTTGTGAGAGTCCCCGCCTCCCACCAATGTGGCCCGGGCTCGATTCCGGCCTGGGGTCCGTTTCTCGAAGGTCCCGCAAAGTTTTCGCACCCGGAAAATCATAGCAAAATCTCAAACCTTATGATTACGGAGCTGTTTTATCCACATATCCTTAATGTGAACAGAGGTTCCCTTCATACAAGAAGTTTCAGGCGTATACACTTCTCCGTTTTTTGACACAGATGAACTAAAAATGGCTTTACGGGCCCGAAAAGTTTCCGGGGCTTTCGAGAAACGGGCCCCTGACGTCATATTTCAGTGGATTGAGTTTGTTGTTGGTTTTCGCCTTGCTCCGAGGGTTTTTCTCCGGGTTCTCCGGTTTTCCTCCCTCCTGAAAAACCAACATCTCCAAATTCCAATTTGACCAGCATAGACGACCCGCACGAACACCAGCTAAGGCTAATGCGACTTCCTCCCCAAATAATGTCATTTATTTTATTTTTTATTTAAGTGAAATCAGTGGACCCTTGTAGCCTCCATTTTTGGCATTTAAAATTTCGACAGTCATTCTTTAGCAAAATTTAAACCTCTCAGTATTATCCACAAGTTTCCTTTGGCTTGCTAAACGCAACTTCTTTTTGTTCTTTTTGCTTTTAGTTTGATTTCGTTGGCCCTGTGTGCTAGAGAGAACAACTATGTTTGTCCTCAGTTGACTGCAGACTCGGTGTTAAATATTGAACAAGGAAGGTAAGACAACACTGATATGGTTAAAAATCAGAAGAAAACGAAGACAGACGAGAAAGTATAAATGTGTGACCGCGATTTGACATTGCAAAAGTACGTAGTAAATATCCATATGGTGTTTGCCTAAACCTTACTGCAAAGTGCCCAAAATAGCTCTTATAGCGTATGACACAGCTCCCCGAAGGGGCGGGGGAGGGGAAGGGTTCGAGAAAAAAATGGGCGGAGGTGTGCGGCCTGCTTTTCGAGACCATTACCCTTATTACCCTTGCGATTTTTTCCTACCCATTTTATGACTTGACCAAACATTCGATACTTAATTTAAGACCTGACCCTTAAATGAATACCCTTTTTCACACCTACTTTATAATTGAAAGTAGCTTCTTCCAACAAGCATGCCCAATTCAAGACTAAAGGGCAAAAACCACACCCTATATGAGACCAAAATGGCCAAAATCGACACTCTATTTCTGACCAATACGACCAAAAGACAATACCCTCTGCGGCTGCACATACCTATATAGCTCATGTAAGGTCTCAGCATCGAAAAGTTCTGGAGCTAGCGGTTTATGATCCTCTCCTCCCAGAATAGTAAAATCTCCACTTTGGTGAGCACTCTAATATCTTTTAGATCTCCCTGCCTTTTTTACCCTTGAAAACACCCTCCCGGTTAGGATTTTACTGTAGTTCACTGCACTGGAGTCTTTGAAAACTGAGTGAAGCTAATGTTCTATTTGTTTTATTTTCCTCAGGCACCCTTTGCAGGAGCTCTGTGTCAGCCTGTTTGTTCCAAATGACACAGTATTTGACAAAGATAGAGGGCGCATGAAAATTTTGACTGGACCTAATGCCAGTGGTAAAAGTGTCTATCTTAAACAGGTAAAGGCACATCTTAAGTTATCTGCACTTTTATTGATACCCTTACTAACACGCGTGTTGCCTCGCGGAATGAATTCACTTTCAGCGAGAGAGACTACCATCTAAAAAAAATGCTTCCGCAAGCTTAAAACGAGATTCGTCTTTCTTTCGCGCTTCGCTTTCCTTGTCCTTTTTCCTCGTTTCTTGCTCGACCTTCTGTGAAGTCATATAATAACTGCTCTTACGATAAATACTCTTGTCCTTACAGGTCGGCTTGATCGTATTTTTGGCGCATATTGGCAGTTTTGTGCCTGCCGAGTCTGCTACTATTGGCCTGACGGACAGAATTTTTACACGGATACACACAAGAGAAACCGTATCTGTGGGTTTGTCAACCTTTATGATAGATCTAAACCAGGTAAGCCATTGAGAGTCGGTGTAGGTTGTTGTTAGAGATGAAACGAAAACTGAAGTAATCACATCTTCATGCAGCCAATCACCAAACTTTTTTAAGCGGGAGTATTAGGAGTATTAATATATACTCTCCTTACAGTGTATGCTAGCTCATCGTGGTTACCTCCCTGTCCACTCTCCCCCTCCTCGCACACCATGTTTCAGATTTCTCAAGCTTTCACCAAAAACCCGTTTAGACTTCTGGTCGTTGAGAGACACTGAGAGTAAACTGTCTTGCCTAGGTAAGAACAGGTTCAAGTCGAGTCAGGCTGGACTCGATCTCTTGATCGGGAGTCTCGCATTTAATCTAACACTGTAACCAATGGGCCACCGGCTTTCTCTCCAAAGAAAGATCGCAACTCAATCGACAAATGTTTGACTGACTTCGAAAAGTCGAAGAATTTCGTTTGTAATCCAAGTTAAATAATAATGAGCAGACATTATGCTCCATGTTATTTCATCAGGTAGCCACCGCAGTGAACGGAGCAACGGAGAATTCTTTGGTCATCGTTGACGAATTTGGAAAAGGAACTGCTACGGTACTATCAAACAGCGTTATCATAGCAACATGACACTCCTTTTTTCCTTACGCATCCTGGCAATACCCTCAACGATGCATGTTTTCTTGTGTTCCCTTGTTTAGATCGATGGCCTGTCCTTGCTGACTGCCACACTCCGTCACTGGCTTAGGAAGGGAACTAACTGTCCAAAAATTCTGGTGTCTACGCACTTTCATGGCCTTGTCAAACAAAAGCTGCTTCCTCAAACTCCTCTGGTTACATATCAGGTATATTGATCCGCACAGTAACTTTAATTTTATTCCAATTTCCAATAATGAACAGCTCACCAAAATGTGAAGTGTCTCGTAGAGGTATACAACTCACATAACGCCGACCAGAGCTACATCCCGGAGTGCTTCGTACTGAGCCCAGCTCACTAAACTTTGGCCCATAGGGGTGGACCTTTTGAGTTTTGAGGGGGAGAGGGTTATTTTGAAAAAATATATATATCCTGCAAGACTACTTGTGCCAAAAAATTCAGGCACACGACCACTGCCGAAAGAAAATTCGCCCACGGTTGGTGAGCCGAAAAAAGCATGTTACACGGAGAAAGAATATCTTTCATACATACGTCATAGGAAAAAAATTCCTGATGCATGAACTGAATGGGTTAACAAAAAATTCGTACCTGTACCAAATCACCCTCACACCCCCTGAAAAGTCAAATGGTCCACCCCTTACACTGACTCTTTAATCTTAAAATAATGCTGCATTGTTTTTGTCTTTGTATTGTAACAGACGATGCAAGTGATGGAAGAAAACGAAGAGATTGCTTTTCTCTATCACCTTGTTGAGGGTTACGCTGAGAGCAGTCTGGCGTGCCACATAGCTTCTTTGGCTGGACTGCCAGATGAACTGGTCAAGCGAGCTCATCAGGTTTGTACAAACACATCTTAACTTATCAAGAAGAAATGTCGGCACGAACATGGGACAAAGGAAAAAAATCTGAGTCCCCGACAGGATTCGAACCCCATAACCTCCTAGATCCCGGTTGGGCGATCTAACCACTGTGCTACAGAGAGACTCTTGGTTCGCTGGGCCATTTTACAAGGTTCATTTGGGCGCCTAACCGATATGTAGGAGGTCATGGGTTCGAATCCTGTTGGGCACTCAGATTTTTGCTTTTTCTAATGCTTGTACCAACATTTCTTCATCATTTATTCACCGAGCTGTAAATTTACCACCTTTTGTTTATCACACATCTTGTCCATCTTATTTCGACCCTTTGGTCTTGAGAATGATTGACATTTAATTTCTCCTCATACTATCACAGCATTGTTTAGCAGAGATGCGATAAGGATAAAGAAAATCATCAACAAGAGGATATCGTCTCGATGTACTAACAAATGTTATAAATGAGCTTACTTTTAAGAAAGCACATATGTATGGCCATAGGAGAGGATAAGCTAAGGGTGAGCGTAATCCTCTACTGATAGCCGTCTGTTAATGGAGAATTTATACTTTGCCACTCAAGAACGGCAAGATTATATTGAGGAAAATTTAAGATGGATAAGCTTACGATACACTTCCTCTCCTCGGTATACCAAGTCTATGTGAGTTTGAAATATAAAAAAGTTTGCGTTTGTGTAGGGAAGTAATTAAAGTGGTAAACCTTCGATAATTAATTGTTATGTACAAGGAAGTGTATGAACGGCGAAGAATCATTTCAGTATAAGAGGAGGGGAGAGGCAGAGTTGGAAAAGTGATAAACTTTGCCGTACTTAAATTGAATTTGTAGAATCTGAGGGGTTGTGTTACTTTGCAGGTGACAGAACTTACAAGATGTAATAAACCAATCCCTAGAAAGGACACCAAAGATGACGAGGAACAAAGAAAAAGGTTTGCTTTTATTAAATCTTCCGACTTTATTTCGTGTATAATAAATATAAATATCGTCATATATTATCGAAAAATCATAGTGAACTCCTCTAACGCTAAAATATTTCTATCGTTATTTTCGTCAATTGAATAATTTTCCAACGACCCCAAAATCTTTCTGCATTAACTTAATACCTATCGTGTTAAAATAAAGCTCAGTATTATTTTTTTTCAGCTCAGACTTCTAAGACACGATTACTCATGTAACAATTGTATGCAAATAGATGATTGTTTAGTTTTTCATTAAAATTGACGAGAGAGAACGATTCCATTTTGTTGAAATGCACATACTGCTTTTTTTCTTTTTTGACTGTTTTTGAGGCTAGAGCGCATTTCAGTGAGTTTCATGTTTCTCAGTTCACCACTTCCGAGAATAGGTGAGCCAAAAAGCGTTAACCTCGCTAAAATGCGTTAAGTCCAGCTCTGATTAATGTCGTTTTTTAGCTTTTTTTGTCAACAAAACGCGAAAGTTTTTGTTTTATATTATTCGCCTGACTTTTAGCCCGGACGTTTAGCAATAACTTTGTTTACTTAGGGGGATATTTTAGCAAGAAAATTATAGACATAACATCTACGTATTATGCGTGGGATTTCCAGTATTTTAATCCCAACTCTGTTATCAAAGGGAAGTTAAAAATTGCCACCAATATTTATCCTGTCAGTCCATCTATGTTATATTGGCTTGGACTGAAATAAAATACCGTAATGGAAGTGGGTTAGAGGAGCTTAAAATGTCACGATAATAGAAGTCCAATTTGCGATTTACATATGTACCCTAAGTTTTCTAAGGTAGAAGTTCCTAAGCTATGAAATGAAGAGTTTAAAAACTCGGGCTAATTTTTTTAAGATAGTATGCTGTTCGTGACAAAATTCTTTTAAACCCGGCCGCGTTAAACCCTTTTATAGAGCACGTTGTCCTCCTTCGTGAGTTTGAAGTGCACGAAGTAACCTTAGATTTAAGTCGACTAAGGACTTTGTTGATTTGAAAATGTTGTCACCGTGGAGAACATAATAAGCAGATTTGTGCTTTGTTTGCAGGCACAAAGCCATCGTCACGAAGTTCTTGTCTCTGGATTTGGACAACGATGACCCTGAAGCTTTTCTTTCTGATCTCGTAAATGCATTCGATGGTTGTTGATTTTAAAGAATTGTTCTTCAAACGCTTAAGGAGATTTGAGCACAATATTTAATTAAGCACGTTAGAATGTTCCTCCGTATTGATATTGCAAGCTCAAACATTCCCGCGAGCTCAATTCTATTTTATCGCACTCAAAATATTTACCAAGTTCGCATTTCCTTTGTTCTATTGAAATTCTGCGCTTTAAGCCAGTCCTGAATAATTTGTATCGTGAATCAATTATTAGTCCTGAGGTCAGGTAATACAGCATGTTCATTTCTGTTGTCAGGTTGGCCTAGCGTGGTGTTGTAGTCACAAATGTTTCTAAGGGGTTTTCGTTTCCGTTTTCCATTGAAAACGTTGACTCGTGACAAAACGCGTGAATCCAATTACTGTCATCGTGTGGCGTGAGATGACGTCACGTGTGATTTACGTGTGCAACGAGGAAAACTTTCCATGCATGTCCGGTCCAACTCATAACTGCGTTTCGTTGCTGGTGATGAAATCAAATTCGACTGACATTTGTACAAGGAGGTGTGTTGAAGAACAGTCCCCAAAAACAATCTGACAAGTCTTACAACAGTGGACGCTGCCTTGATTCTGGCAAAAACATGAGACATTGTAGGAAACACAGAACTCACCGAAACTCCTTTGAAATTGCTTTGTTTGGAGCTGCTTGCGTGGGGAAAACTTCGCTTGTTCGACGCTCTTTTTATGGAGAATTCAACCATGAATACACTCCCACGGTGGAGGACTATTACCGTCATGAGATTCACAGAAATGGCGGCGTGACTGTGCTTGATGCCACTGATTGTGCAGGGAGTTTTCAGTTCCCTGCCATGAGGCAGGTGACAATACGTCGAGCTGCTGGGATAGTATTGGTGTTCTCATTAGACAGTGAATTCTCGTTTCGCGAATTGCAAAGAATATTGGACGAAATCATCGCAGCTAAAGCCGAGGAGGGTGTTCCGATTGTTATAGTTGGTAACAAAAAAGACTTGAATGTACGGGAAGTTAGAGAGGAAGACATAACGGAACTAATCAGAATGAACAGCTCGGATAAATTCCAACTGCGGTATGTAGAGACATCTGCTAAAGACAGTGCCAACGTGGACGAAGTGTTTGACCAACTTCTTAGACTTCTTATGCCAGAGCCTCCACTAAAGAAGAGCAAAATCAAAGTTTTTAACTTCAAAGCTAAAGAAAAATGCAGTATTATGTAAATTATTTAGAGTATTTTGTACAAAGCAACTTGAAAATTATTAGACATCGTGCTTTACAGTTCTTGCTTTGTGACTCCTTTGTGAATTAATTTATTTTTAAAATATTGTACATATTTCAATTGAGCTGGAGTAAGTTATTATTAAATGCGATTATGAAGACTTTATTTCTTGTTTGACTGTTGATAAGACGGCAAGTCGGGGCAAAAGAAATGTTTTCCTTCGTGGGAAAGGAATTTGAATAGTAATTATAAAGTATGCAAACAAAAACATGGGTCTTTCAAATATCGACCGCTAGTCAATTCCAACTTCATCGACTGTTTGACTGTTAATTACATGCACTAATAAATTGTATAGCAAAAATTCGCGTCTTTGTAAAGGTATTTTCAAGTCTTACATCATCGAAAAAAATCGGGAAGACAATCATGGAACAATTTTATTTTATCTCTGTTTCCTTGGCTCTATTGCTCTCCGCACGAAAATTGACTGTTGACAATGAGGGTGTGTATTGCAAGCGGATGTTTGTCTTACTTGACCGTGGCCGTGGATGAAGTTCCGCTCTCTTTGGCAGCTCCTTGTCAACTAAGAGAATAGCGTAATCTGCGTAATAAACGACACTTTCATTTGAAGTACTCATCAGCCAACCACAAATGAAACCGCCCTCGCATTGGAACTTCAAAGCTAATATTTTAAATCGACTAAATCAGACCATTGCGAACCGTGCTGTCTCGCTGAGATGTTGGAGAAACCAGTCTTGCAAATCGACGTTGACTTGATTGTTTTTCTTTCAAATTTTCGCCTTGAATTTTGATATGCTTTAAATTGTTTATTTGTACTGCGTTAATAAACTTCGTGTGCGGGAGTCAAAATACCGAATTTATTAAGTGTATAAAGTGCTTGTATCTCGTCGAGCTTGTTTTGACCGTGTTTTTAGCTCAGGTGGAACTAATTTCTCTTGATTATCCACGGATATCTAGCCAGCCAATTCCAACCCTAGGACGTCATGTTGCCCAAAATATTTTTAAGGTGTCATGGGACTAGAATGCTGCTGTAAGAATAAATTATTTTCACTGATTTTTCTTAGAACTGGACCACCAAGAAGTGCATGTTTTTGTTATCTCTTTCTATAATTAAACCTTGATAGTATTCAAGGAAGAAATAACAAAAAAGAAACAAAATAAAATACTGTTCTAACAGAGAAAATTTGCACTGAACAATTTTGGTTGTATTTTCTTTCCTTTTTTTCAACTTATATCTTTTCCCGCCCGCGACTAATATGATCTGATCAACATACATATTGAATTTGACTTGAACTTACAGTAGTAATTATTATTTTTGTAGGGAGTGTTTTATTCCCACTCTCAACTACTACAACTGAGCAAACATACACAATTTTTATTTAACTTGAATAAATTTATATGTTCATTGGCGTTTCTTCCTTGTATAAAACCTGCTCCAGGCGTTACTATTTTAAAATGTACTTTAACTTCATGACGTAATAACTCTTGTCAACTCTTCCTAATTCCTTTCTAATAAAGAGAATTTTAAGTTAAGGCTGTCGAACGTACCTCGGAAGTAAACGTTATAAATACTCATTAAAGCAATCTCACAGGTGCTATATTAATCGAAATTTACTTTTCGTGTGACGTTTACTATATCGTGGGTCGACCAGTTCTTTGCCTGTTTATACAGTGAGAATGCATGGAGATGATTTTGGCTATAGCTAAGCTTTTTTTTTTTTCTCGGCAAAATTGACGTTCCTCGGGTCTTGTCTTATTTTCAGCCTCGTTCATAATTACGGGTAGTTACTAACTTATGGTTGTAACATACTTCTCAATTCTGATGTATTTCGGACCTTTAATTTTGAACACTATTTTTTTTCTTGTCCCCGTCTGATCCGGTTCGATTCCCACACACGACAGAAATTTGCCGATTCGGCAAATAAAACTCCTTGTATGATAATGTATGGCGGGCAGACAAGATAAGACAGATAGGCGAAACAAAAGCTGCTGACGACTATAGCAATAAAACCGGTTTTCTGTTCAGTGTCTAACAGGAAAATGAAATCACCCTGTAATTTACAACTATAAAAGGGCAATAAAAAGTCGATTTGCTGACGTCAATATTGTCGGTGTCCTAGTGACTTATTCGGCAGGGCGCCCTTCACGGCCGACCGCGCTGCCAACGGATGCTCTTACGGCAAGCGGGGAATTTTTGCGGATATAAGAATGGTTTAAGATAGTTAGTCAATGACACAAGCTTCTCGTAAAGACGAATCTGAATTCTTCGGAAGTCCTTTCTATTTTCGAATAGCTTTCTTTACACTTTGTTAAGGGAGTATGCATAAGTTTCTCCCTTTTCACTTCCCCAGAGTCGTCCGCGAGTCTCTTCCGCAATTCCGTTGACCCGAATTCTCTCATGATCAGCTGTTGAAGACCCCCTGCAGACCACAAGCTCCTTATCAGACGACTCTGAGTCCAGCTATTTTAAGTAGTCAAGGAAATTTTTCCTGTTTGTTCCCGATTCTAATTAAATCTTGGAATGAAACCTTTTGTCTAGCCAGCGAGGGATCCGGTGTTTTCGAAGAGCCGAAATAACCGGTTCCTTTTGTCCGTGAAACACTGAGAGAGGGAGACTGGGTAAGAATGAAGGTTTATAACAGTAACAACACTACCATTGCACAGCGGTTGTAAACATAAGATGGCGGCCGTTCAGTTTCTTCTGCGGCGAGCAAGACATTTTGATACAATACCACACAAGTCTTCTGTTTTTGGCAACAAGATTGCTTGTAATATTAGATGTATATCTCAAGGAAAGATTTATGATTGTAAACTGGAGCAGAAGATGCTTGGGAAGGTAGGATTTACAACTAAACTTTATAGAAGCTTATGATTCGTGTTGTGCATGGTGGCCAGGCAGTAAGCTCTCCTGTTCAAGGTGGTGTGTGTGAGATGAAAACTCAGCAGGGTAATATCAATAGGCGAGTGAAAAATCTAAATACCAAACAGCTAGCAGGGAGAGATATGAAATGGAATGGCCGTTATAACAGAGTGTAAACTGGGTTTCAAAATTCTAAAGATCAGATCGTGAGAAGGGTGGGATAGAGTGAAGGGAGGAATGGAAGTTAGTGAATCCCTCCAAAGAACTCGTGAAATTTTTATCAGTGGTGTGCCTGACACTCTGTGCAAAATGAAAAGCCAGAACAAGAAAAACAGAAGTTCCTGCTCCCAGTGTACATGCTTCAAAGTTCAATGGTGATTTTCTGACCAGGGGCGAGGGGTAGAGAGACCGACTGTTGTGACTACTGGAGGTTCACCTTACAATTTCACCCAGACATCCTGATTACTGTTGCTGTCCAAACGGATCATGGGCCCTGGGAATGAGATTGGGGAGTCCCTCTACTACTCCTGACTCTCTCCTCCCATATTAGTATTTTTTGCCAGTAGCCTGTTCTTTTTGCCTTATCCCCCAGCAGGGGCTATGTTTACACAAGACAAGCTTGTTTCATGATTTCAAATATCCCAAACAACAGTCTTTTTTTGTCTATCAAGACATTTATGTAAGGTACACCAATAAGTGGGAGGCACAAAGTGCCCATAAACAAGGGCAGTGAGCAGAACATAGTCTAACCTCAAGCTGACTGTGCAAATTATTAACCTTGTTATGGATCATTGGGCCTTGTGATATGCATAAGACCTTTTTGTTGATGTAACAGTTGAGGTAAATTATGGGGGATGTTTACTGAGCCTTGAAGCAGTTCAGTAAATATCTTCCACTTTTCACCAACACTGAGAACCAACTGACTTAAACAATCCAAACTGATGACAGTTTTTATTCTCCGCAGTCAAGAAGTGGTTTACATCATTTGGTTTGTCGTGGTCCATACCGGATCTTAACATTTATCAGACCTATGAGTAGCCAATCACAAGGCAACTTCTTGGCAGACCTGAAGTCCAGTCCTCCACCAGCTCTTCATCTGGGTTTCTCTGGAGCAATCCCATTTTGTGGTTTGGCTGTCATGGCTTTTATCTCTCCTGAAAACTTGCCCCTCATTGTTCATGCACAACAGGCATATGGGGCATGCATTCTCTCCTTTCTTGGAGCAATACACTGGGGTTTTGCTTTGGCTAAGATGAGTGAACTTAAGCCAGACTGGAGAACACTCGGCTACAGTGTCACACCCTCGCTCATTGCATGGCTTGCTTTACTTGCAAAGCCAGTGCCAGGACTAACAACTTTATGCATTGGGCTTGCCATAGCGTTATCAAGAGATCTGAGCACACCTTACTTTCCAGCTTGGTATTATGCCTTAAGAAAAGCACTTTCTACATTAGCTGTGAGTTCTATCGGTTTAACTGCAGCTGTCTTGTATTTTCATTAGTCAGCTGGATACTTNAGCATGTTCATTTCTGTTGTCAGGTTGGCCTAGCGTGGTGTTGTAGTCACAAATGTTTCTAAGGGGTTTTCGTTTCCGTTTTCCATTGAAAACGTTGACTCGTGACAAAACGCGTGAATCCAATTACTGTCATCGTGTGGCGTGAGATGACGTCACGTGTGATTTACGTGTGCAACGAGGAAAACTTTCCATGCATGTCCGGTCCAACTCATAACTGCGTTTCGTTGCTGGTGATGAAATCAAATTCGACTGACATTTGTACAAGGAGGTGTGTTGAAGAACAGTCCCCAAAAACAATCTGACAAGTCTTACAACAGTGGACGCTGCCTTGATTCTGGCAAAAACATGAGACATTGTAGGAAACACAGAACTCACCGAAACTCCTTTGAAATTGCTTTGTTTGGAGCTGCTTGCGTGGGGAAAACTTCGCTTGTTCGACGCTCTTTTTATGGAGAATTCAACCATGAATACACTCCCACGGTGGAGGACTATTACCGTCATGAGATTCACAGAAATGGCGGCGTGACTGTGCTTGATGCCACTGATTGTGCAGGGAGTTTTCAGTTCCCTGCCATGAGGCAGGTGACAATACGTCGAGCTGCTGGGATAGTATTGGTGTTCTCATTAGACAGTGAATTCTCGTTTCGCGAATTGCAAAGAATATTGGACGAAATCATCGCAGCTAAAGCCGAGGAGGGTGTTCCGATTGTTATAGTTGGTAACAAAAAAGACTTGAATGTACGGGAAGTTAGAGAGGAAGACATAACGGAACTAATCAGAATGAACAGCTCGGATAAATTCCAACTGCGGTATGTAGAGACATCTGCTAAAGACAGTGCCAACGTGGACGAAGTGTTTGACCAACTTCTTAGACTTCTTATGCCAGAGCCTCCACTAAAGAAGAGCAAAATCAAAGTTTTTAACTTCAAAGCTAAAGAAAAATGCAGTATTATGTAAATTATTTAGAGTATTTTGTACAAAGCAACTTGAAAATTATTAGACATCGTGCTTTACAGTTCTTGCTTTGTGACTCCTTTGTGAATTAATTTATTTTTAAAATATTGTACATATTTCAATTGAGCTGGAGTAAGTTATTATTAAATGCGATTATGAAGACTTTATTTCTTGTTTGACTGTTGATAAGACGGCAAGTCGGGGCAAAAGAAATGTTTTCCTTCGTGGGAAAGGAATTTGAATAGTAATTATAAAGTATGCAAACAAAAACATGGGTCTTTCAAATATCGACCGCTAGTCAATTCCAACTTCATCGACTGTTTGACTGTTAATTACATGCACTAATAAATTGTATAGCAAAAATTCGCGTCTTTGTAAAGGTATTTTCAAGTCTTACATCATCGAAAAAAATCGGGAAGACAATCATGGAACAATTTTATTTTATCTCTGTTTCCTTGGCTCTATTGCTCTCCGCACGAAAATTGACTGTTGACAATGAGGGTGTGTATTGCAAGCGGATGTTTGTCTTACTTGACCGTGGCCGTGGATGAAGTTCCGCTCTCTTTGGCAGCTCCTTGTCAACTAAGAGAATAGCGTAATCTGCGTAATAAACGACACTTTCATTTGAAGTACTCATCAGCCAACCACAAATGAAACCGCCCTCGCATTGGAACTTCAAAGCTAATATTTTAAATCGACTAAATCAGACCATTGCGAACCGTGCTGTCTCGCTGAGATGTTGGAGAAACCAGTCTTGCAAATCGACGTTGACTTGATTGTTTTTCTTTCAAATTTTCGCCTTGAATTTTGATATGCTTTAAATTGTTTATTTGTACTGCGTTAATAAACTTCGTGTGCGGGAGTCAAAATACCGAATTTATTAAGTGTATAAAGTGCTTGTATCTCGTCGAGCTTGTTTTGACCGTGTTTTTAGCTCAGGTGGAACTAATTTCTCTTGATTATCCACGGATATCTAGCCAGCCAATTCCAACCCTAGGACGTCATGTTGCCCAAAATATTTTTAAGGTGTCATGGGACTAGAATGCTGCTGTAAGAATAAATTATTTTCACTGATTTTTCTTAGAACTGGACCACCAAGAAGTGCATGTTTTTGTTATCTCTTTCTATAATTAAACCTTGATAGTATTCAAGGAAGAAATACCAAAAAAGAAACAAAATAAAATACTGTTCTAACAGAGAAAATTTGCACTGAACAATTTTGGTTGTATTTTCTTTCCTTTTTTTCAACTTATATCTTTTCCCGCCCGCGACTAATATGATCTGATCAACATACATATTGAATTTGACTTGAACTTACAGTAGTAATTATTATTTTTGTAGAGAGTGTTTTATTCCCACTCTCAACTACTACAACTGAGCAAACATACACAATTTTTATTTAACTTGAATAAATTTATATGTTCATTGGCGTTTCTTCCTTGTATAAAACCTGCTCCAGGCGTTACTATTTTAAAATGTACTTTAACTTCATGACGTAATAACTCTTATCAACTCTTCCTAATTCCTTTCTAATAAAGAGAATTTTAAGTTAAAGCTGTCGAACGTACCTCGGAAGTAAACGTTATAAATACTCATTAAAGCAATCTCACAGGTGCTATATTAATCGAAATTTACTTTTCGTGTGACGTTTACTATATCGTGGGTCGACCAGTTCTTTGCCTGTTTATACAGTGAGAATGCATGAAGATGATTTTGGCTATAGCTAAGCTTTTTTTTTTTTCTCGGCAAAATTGACGTTCCTCGGGTCTTGTCTTATTTTCAGCCTCGTTCATAATTACGGGTAGTTACTAACTTATGGTTGTAACATACTTCTCAATTCTGATGTATTTCGGACCTTTAATTTTGAACACTATTTTTTTTCTTGTCCCCGTCTGATCCGGTTCGATTCCCACACACGACAGAAATTTGCCGATTCGGCAAATAAAACTCCTTGTATGATAATGTATGGCGGGCAGACAAGATAAGACAGATAGGCGAAACAAAAGCTGCTGACGACTATAGCAATAAAACCGGTTTTCTGTTCAGTGTCTAACAGGAAAATGAAATCACCCTGTAATTTACAACTATAAAAGGGCAATAAAAAGTCGATTTGCTGACGTCAATATTGTCGGTGTCCTAGTGACTTATTCGGCAGGGCGCCCTTCACGGCCGACCGCGCTGCCAACGGATGCTCTTACGGCAAGCGGGGAATTTTTGCGGATATAAGAATGGTTTAAGATAGTTAGTCAATGACACAAGCTTCTCGTAAAGACGAATCTGAATTCTTCGGAAGTCCTTTCTATTTTCGAATAGCTTTCTTTACACTTTGTTAAGGGAGTATGCATAAGTTTCTCCCTTTTCACTTCCCCAGAGTCGTCCGCGAGTCTCTTCCGCAATTCCGTTGACCCGAATTCTCTCATGATCAGCTGTTGAAGACCCCCTGCAGACCACAAGCTCCTTATCAGACGACTCTGAGTCCAGCTATTTTAAGTAGTCAAGGAAATTTTTCCTGTTTGTTCCCGATTCTAATTAAATCTTGGAATGAAACCTTTTGTCTAGCCAGCGAGGGATCCGGTGTTTTCGAAGAGCCGAAATAACCGGTTCCTTTTGTCCGTGAAACACTGAGAGAGGGAGACTGGGTAAGAATGAAGGTTTATAACAGTAACAACACTACCATTGCACAGCGGTTGTAAACATAAGATGGCGGCCGTTCAGTTTCTTCTGCGGCGAGCAAGACATTTTGATACAATACCACACAAGTCTTCTGTTTTTGGCAACAAGATTGCTTGTAATATTAGATGTATATCTCAAGGAAAGATTTATGATTGTAAACTGGAGCAGAAGATGCTTGGGAAGGTAGGATTTACAACTAAACTTTATAGAAGCTTATGATTCGTGTTGTGCATGGTGGCCAGGCAGTAAGCTCTCCTGTTCAAGGTGGTGTGTGTGAGATGAAAACTCAGCAGGGTAATATCAATAGGCGAGTGAAAAATCTAAATACCAAACAGCTAGCAGGGAGAGATATGAAATGGAATGGCCGTTATAACAGAGTGTAAACTGGGTTTCAAAATTCTAAAGATCAGATCGTGAGAAGGGTGGGATAGAGTGAAGGGAGGAATGGAAGTTAGTGAATCCCTCCAAAGAACTCGTGAAATTTTTATCAGTGGTGTGCCTGACACTCTGTGCAAAATGAAAAGCCAGAACAAGAAAAACAGAAGTTCCTGCTCCCAGTGTACATGCTTCAAAGTTCAATGGTGATTTTCTGACCAGGGGCGAGGGGTAGAGAGACCGACTGTTGTGACTACTGGAGGTTCACCTTACAATTTCACCCAGACATCCTGATTACTGTTGCTGTCCAAACGGATCATGGGCCCTGGGAATGAGATTGGGGAGTCCCTCTACTACTCCTGACTCTCTCCTCCCATATTAGTATTTTTTGCCAGTAGCCTGTTCTTTTTGCCTTATCCCCCAGCAGGGGCTATGTTTACACAAGACAAGCTTGTTTCATGATTTCAAATATCCCAAACAACAGTCTTTTTTTGTCTATCAAGACATTTATGTAAGGTACACCAATAAGTGGGAGGCACAAAGTGCCCATAAACAAGGGCAGTGAGCAGAACATAGTCTAACCTCAAGCTGACTGTGCAAATTATTAACCTTGTTATGGATCATTGGGCCTTGTGATATGCATAAGACCTTTTTGTTGATGTAACAGTTGAGGTAAATTATGGGGGATGTTTACTGAGCCTTGAAGCAGTTCAGTAAATATCTTCCACTTTTCACCAACACTGAGAACCAACTGACTTAAACAATCCAAACTGATGACAGTTTTTATTCTCCGCAGTCAAGAAGTGGTTTACATCATTTGGTTTGTCGTGGTCCATACCGGATCTTAACATTTATCAGACCTATGAGTAGCCAATCACAAGGCAACTTCTTGGCAGACCTGAAGTCCAGTCCTCCACCAGCTCTTCATCTGGGTTTCTCTGGAGCAATCCCATTTTGTGGTTTGGCTGTCATGGCTTTTATCTCTCCTGAAAACTTGCCCCTCATTGTTCATGCACAACAGGCATATGGGGCATGCATTCTCTCCTTTCTTGGAGCAATACACTGGGGTTTTGCTTTGGCTAAGATGAGTGAACTTAAGCCAGACTGGAGAACACTCGGCTACAGTGTCACACCCTCGCTCATTGCATGGCTTGCTTTACTTGCAAAGCCAGTGCCAGGACTAACAACTTTATGCATTGGGCTTGCCATAGCGTTATCAAGAGATCTGAGCACACCTTACTTTCCAGCTTGGTATTATGCCTTAAGAAAAGCACTTTCTACATTAGCTGTGAGTTCTATCGGTTTAACTGCAGCTGTCTTGTATTTTCATTAGTCAGCTGGATACTT